ATGGCTAATACATTGACAGACATTAAAATTTCATATGAATTGAGTGAGAAATTAGTATAGTTTGCGGCAAAACAACTATTAATGCATATACAATGTGGGCGATGTTTTTTATCGTACAAAATTAAACTTATCATTTTAAATAATATATTACCATCGCATTTGAGTTACTTACTGAATACGATATTATCTGAATACAATGTACGGATAAAAAATTAAATGTACTGATAATACTTTATAATGTAAGCTAGCTTAAAATAAGATTTGCCTAATATTATATATAAATTATTGCCAATTTTTGATATTGAGAATGTTTAGTATAAAGATTTTTTATACTAAAGAATATGACAAATTATAGTAAACATAAAATATCCAATATGTAATTTCAAATTTTATTATTAAAAATAATACAAATCACTGTAAAATATAATCTTAAAAATACAGCATTCATTGGATTGTCATTTCTGTATTAATTGGTGTTATAAATGCATGACTTTAGACATTGCTGGGAACGTCCGAGCGATGGAAGTGCACCAACTGTTTGATTCAATGATAAATGTTAATAATTATATTTTAACCTAATATTATATAAATATTATCATGCAACATTACCTGCCATTTACCATCATTCTTGCGCCAAACGCGTGTTTCCTCTCCCCGAGTGGTCACAACATTTCCACTTCTATACATGAAATAAGTAAAACAACATTTAATTTACATGCAATAGTATACTTTGATTTTTCAAAGTTGATAATTTTAACATTTATACTTTTATTGATAAATTATTAATATATGATTTTGCGATAAATGACTCACTTATCTACGAATTGGTTAAGTCTAATGTATGCGATGACAGCGCTGTCTGATCCCAGTCTGTGAACGACTGGCGATATTAATGTTGTCCTCTTAGGCGCCGAGTCTTTCACCAACACTATAGACATGTAAACCACAAATTGAAATATAGTTTCACTACTTTTATATTATTTATTGATTTATTTATAATTTATTGAACGCTAAATAAATCACAAAAAGCGCACAATTGTTAAGTCAGTTTCAATTGAACTCAATTTTAAATAAAATTTTACAATTTGTAAATATTAAACTCATGTTGATATAATATAAAGTAATTACCATGGTAATAATATGGTAATATAATGATAAATCGATTTAGAACTACCAATCACTTAATACTGTTTATAAATATTAAATATCCAGTATATTATAACTCAATGTAAATTATATGTACTGTATATTAATGAATTAAACTTCAAATTAAATAAAAACATCAAACTTACGATGGTCAAAATAAAACTTGTGAAAGTCAACGCCGACAATATTGCCGACGGCCTCGGGTTCAAAGGAGGTCAGATTGGGATCAATAAACTTGATATAAGCGGCAAAATCGGCCGCATTTATGGTCTTAATTAGCCTTTCGGTCACATCAATGATCGTCGCCTTTAACTCGCTGTCAGTCGTACTCATTGTGTCTGAAAATCGCTGCGAAAGAAAACAAAAATTCATAAAATTAAGCAAAAGAAAAGGTATCGAGTATTGAGAGAAAAAAGTGTATTCAAAATATATGACAAAAAAATATCTTAAAATCTCGGCTAAAATTAGACGACAAAAAAAGTGGGGATTCTTTGAAAATGAATGGCAAAGAAAAAATGTCAAGAATTCAAGAATAAATTTATATATATGTATGAGAATTGAATGAAAAAAATATTGGCATTTACTCAATGAACGGCAAAATATATACGGCTTTCAATTTAGTGATGGATTTTTTACTATTTTTTTGTCGACACAAAAGTCTTGTCGCACAGCAAAAACCTCGGCTCAAAAATGCAATAATTAATGACTATTAATGTATGGATTTTATAGACACTATTGTGTCCCTCTATTTATAGTAAAAATGTAGACAATTTTTCTACATTATTGACTTTTCTTATCGCAAAAAATTCAATAATAGAGTTGAGAAATGCACTGAATTTCAATATAGCCGCTGACATACACTATTTGTTACAGTGGCGGAGCCCTCCAATTGTTCATTATATGGGAGTTAATACCAATACGTACAGTATATCTCATTATGAATGCACCATCATGATTTTGCAGTAGCTTTCAAATGTCATTCATTGAATTTCTGTCTCAAATCTCTCACGTAGAGCTCACGTATATTTTATATCAATACAATTTTACAATATGAAATTATATAAAATAAATGTATACCTAATTATATGCTTAAACTTTATATTATTTTCACTCAAAGGCACGTTTGATTTAGATATGACATAACAGACAATTTGTTGAGATTTTGTTAATAATTTAATCTCTATATATCTGTTGTGACAAAATTTTATCTTTTAATAAGGATTAATAAATTCAAAATATGTGACATTTTTTGTGTGCTTTTGAGGACAAAAATTCTGTGAATCCGAGAAATGGCATATTTTTGTTGATTTTTAAAATTTTAATTAATTTATATTTGCAAACAAGGATTTAGTACAAGAATAATTGGTTTATTTTTCATCTTAATTAAAATTTATGTATTATTTGAAATTTGTTAACATATAAAGTGCATTGTATACCAATGTATATCATCTAGTAACAAGATTCTAGTTCATTATTTTGTGATTTTGTTAATAAGACTTACCGTAAGCCTAAATATTTGACACTTTTTTAACACAAAAGTCTTGAATATTATTGATCGCCGATAAGTGTAGTGAGAAATGCATTGATTAGAAAAAAGTCAAAATGAATTAAAGGATTAGTGAATTGATTTGTGTTTGACAGTCAAGTAACTAAACAATATGTCTAACATTATTGGTTTGTGTCTCATATCGTATGTATTTTATCGCTATGTAAATAGAAATCAAAATATTTTGACATATAATTATAAAAATAAATTCATAAAATAATTGTTATACAATAAAAGGTATGAAACCATTATGAATAATGAATACAAATCCATAAATTATTTTATAATTGTGACAAATTATTTAATAATCAATAAATATTAATTGTCAATATTTAACTGTTATTTAGCTCATTGTAATTTATAATATATTAAAATATCAATTAATTATACTGCAAAATTATACTACATTAAATCAATTTAGATTTTAGACATTATTTTACAGTAAACTTTATTTTTATATTACTTTATTATCGGTAGATTTATTACAAAATATTAGAAAATCATCAAATCATTGAAATAATTCTTACAAGTTAAAATCATAAGATTTTTAATTTTATTTATAATTATAATTTTGTGATAACAATTCAATTTAAACATAAAATTACTTAATTAATATAATCGAGTTTATCTGTAAATTATATTACAATAACATATAAAAATAGTAAGTTTAACCACAATTAAATCTGGAATTGATATGTACAATGTTACGTTTGTCAATCTATTATAGTAAAATGTTAACAATACTTTGCTACAGTATTTTATAATAATTTATATAAATTAACTTTTAACAGATCCATATAACATTAAAAATAGCAGCACTATCCCTGCAATCACCTAAAAAATTATTATTATATAAAATTATTAATAAAATTTAAATTAATAATAAATAAATTATTTAATAAAACACAAATTAAATTTTGTCTAAAAATTAATGCTTACTTCATATCCGCGAAAACGGTTTATAATAAATAATTTCCAACAATAAAACCCGATCTTATGATTGGCTATTCTTTCCATTGTATTCATTAACTACAATAGAAATAATTACAATTCAATAAGTCTTGTAAATTCAATACACAAAATAAAATTTACAATTAAACATGTTTACCTTAAACTTAATACTACGTGAGACATACAACCTATTGGACGCTAACATCGAGTTAATAATACCATAGGTATTGATGGCCACGTTATACAATTGCGATGACAGGTGTATAATAGTCAATAGAAATGTAATGTGAGCCACATCGGTAATAACTATAACACCACGTATAATTGGGTTTGTATCGGCCACCATGATCAAATATGTAGCCGTACTGATCAGCCCATTCCACGTGAACCAAAAGCACAGCAAATACTTTGACCAAAACGTATGGCTATAATCCGCGCACTCGGCGTACGTCCAGTCGTACGCCCGTAAAAGTCGGTCAATTATTTTGTTGACCTTTATATTGGGTTCAGCGGCCACTAGACTATCACCTAATACTGAGTTGAGATGGGCGAGTTTCTCTTTCAAATAGTACGTGATGATAAAATAGTAGGCTGTTTGATAATAGAGCATATCAAAAATGTACTTGCACCAAATGCTATAAACAATTATTTGGTATAATGTGTGGTAAACAATGTACGACCAACTTTTGCCCCACGTATGGGTCACAATCACAAACAATATGGCTGACCCGGAGTTTACCCACGATAAAAATTTCAATACCGGGAATAGCACCCTGCCAATTTTGCATAATTTGTAAACCAATGTTGCGCTCTGTATGCCAAGTTCAGCTGGCGTCACGTGTCCTGCCATCATGCTAAACACACGCATATAGTTGTTATTCAAACCGTTATAATGACCATGGTAATGCAATAATTGACATACAAGACAGTACACAGCAGCCAGGCCAAATGCCATGTTGGTCATACAGCCGGTGCCCAAAAAGTCATCGACATTACCAAACAGATAGCTATAATGGGTCTGATAGGGGGAACCGCTGCTATAGCCGTAACACAAAAGCATACATTTCAATAGCATATACAGTGATGACAAAAATACGAGCCACGGGTTGTACAGCGGGTGACGTTTGTACGGCTGGTCAACACTGTTTACCGGTGAAACACCTATTCGGTAGAGGTGTTCATTGGCGCCGGGAACTCGCCATTCTTCCGCAATAAGATGCGATAAATTTATTTTTAATTTATTCATTTAACATGGTCAAATGCAATGTTTTCTAAAATATTCTAACATTTTACAGTCATAATGAATGTTTAGAATACACACTAGATATGAATTTTTAAAATACATTTATTGCTTAAAATATTGCAATATATAAATAGCTTTATTACTGTAGTTAAACGATAATAATTAGAAAAATCAAATTAAACTTTTTAGATTGTTATTTTTACCACTTATAAATGGAAATTTAAAATGTTAATTATAATATAATTCGCAATCGTAATAAAAATTAGGCATTAATTAGTGTGTATAATATTTTACCATTAATGCTATACTAGTTATACTGCATGTTACATAATATAATATGTAAAATAAATGCATCAAAAATTGTTCAAAAGGACCAAGTTCAATTTCAATACATAAATTGAGTGTTCAAGAATTGTCCCAGATTCAGTTGGCAAGCCTAGCGAAGACACAGCACAGAATTTTATACAATAAATACAAAATGTATAATTTTTAAAAAATTTTTATTTTGAAACATTTCTTGTTATTAAACATAATTTACAATAAAATTATTAAGGTTTTAAGTAAAGACAAAAATATATCAATTATTTGATTTTATCAATTTTAAAATTTAAATTATAATTATAACGAGTATAAGCCCTTTGACTAAAACTCAAATAACAAATCAATAATACAATAGAAGAGAAATCAATGGTAAATAAAATACGGTATAAAAAGTTTGAAAACCACTTTTATTTAATGTGTTTTAATAACATTTTAGTGAATATAGATTTGATTTGAAATTAAGTGCAGCAAAACAGGCATTGTTTTAATTAGTTGTTTTAAGAGCACAGTATGTTTTTTATAGTGATATTCTTTAAAAAAAATTCTTGAAAATCTTAGTTAAATAAAACGATTCTTGAATTTAAATAACGTAATAATATTATGTATATACAACGTACATTTTAAATCATTATAATTTTCATCCCAATTAAATAAGTTTGAAGTTAATTATGGTACTAATTACTAAAAATGTTTTAATGCAATTTTTCTCTGTCTTTGCAGCACTAGTTTTGGAGACAAATTACGTTAATTTATTTCATTTTAAAATATTTATTATTCAGTTTTATTTGAGACTATTTTCTTTTTACTTTTCATTTTTTCGGTTGAGTTTCTGTTTTATATATATTTTCTGTATAAAAGAGTCGATAAGAATAGTATTCAACAGGCAAGAAGCCAGAGTTATAATTCCCACAAAAAACGTTTAAATTATATACATATTGATTGTGTAAATAACCCCACGTCTATATGTTGGCCAAAAAATGCCATATAAAAATATTGTAATTTTAATTATTTTAAATCCAACTAGACAGAAATGTGCTATATTTATAATGTTATCCATAATTCGAAAATTCCATTGATTCCCATGCTCCCGGGAGAGAAAATAAAAACAAATTAGAAAAAATACAAGTGTTGGAAAGAAAATTTATTTTGGAAAAATATATTTTAATTTTTATGATTATTTGTAGTGTTCATTATGTATGATTTGTTAACAAACGAATTATTTAAAAATCTTAAAAATGATATTATGAAACATAGAACTCAATTACTTTTATAAAGATTTTAAAGAATAACAGATTTTCTTGGCATTCATTTAGCGTCACGTCATCTTTTGAGCGGAATATTTAAATTTTGATTAGAAGAATAATTTACAAAATGTTTTAAAATAAATTAATTCATAAGATTTAATAAATATTTTTCTATATTATACTTAGGTATGTGAAGGTACATGTAATAAACAAAATAAAAATATTTATATTCATCAATTGGTCATCATTGACAACATTTTTGTCTTATTTTCTCAATTTCAAGGAATATAAAGAATTTTCCGGCGTAAAACTATTTTCTTAAAATATAATTGTTATAAATGGGAAATGGATAACATTAGCTATATAGTGTAATAATTTTATATTTAAAATAAATTGCTTGCAATAAAATAACGATCGTCTGACTCAATATCGGAATCAAATTTACGTTTTCAATGGCACATTTTGACTACGAATTGCTATTTATCAATGTCAAGCCAATATTTTGCAGGAGAAATAGAATTGAATTTTTTAACATAGGTAGGTTATATTACAAAATTATTTGATTAAAATGCTTATGTTTGATTAAAAACATATTAGTTATATCATTGGTTATTCGAATCTGTTGTTATTCATAGTAGATAGAATATTATTTATAATAATTTTGCCATTTTTTGATGGTCAAAATTTTTAACATTTATCGGCCAAATTGACCACAGTACAGACCAAGGGTTATTTATACAATAAATATGTATATAATCTATACGTTACTTGTGGGAATTATAACTCTGGCTTCTTGTCTGAAGATAACTACAATTGTGCAAAATATAAATTATTGGAAAGTTAATTAATGTAAACTTTATTTTAAATATGCAGTGTTGTGTCAGTACTGTATGATACTGTATCACAAAATAAAAGCGTAATACTGGGTGTTAGATAATATATAGCAGTTTACGGACAGGTAGAGGTGCACCAATATAAGCATTATGGAGTCATTTTGTCAATTTAAAAATAACAAACAAACATTTAATTTAAACAAATTATACATTTTATTTTAATATTAATAAAAGAATAAGTTTATACATTCAACTGATTATATTATAGATAATTAATAACATTAAGTTTATTGTATTAAATTTTCAAAATGACTGCCATTAATTGAAATTAAATGGCGGAGTCTAAGAGTTTATTAATATTAAAATAAATGTATAATTTGTTTAAATTAAATGTTTGTTTGTTATTTTTAAATTGACAAAATGACTCCATAATGCTTATATTGGTGCACCTCTACCTGTCCGTAAACTGCTATATATTATCTAACACCCAGTATCAACTAACTTTAAAATATATAGTAAACATTAATTCTGTTCAATGATTATTGTATGTATTCAACAGTAAAAACTAGTTCACTAGATCACTAGTAATCCTCAAATAACAAAATATTTCATAAATACTACATAATATCTGCAATTAAAATTTTATTCAGTGTGTTCAAATATATTGGCAAATTATATATACTTAACACTTCCTAATGTCAAACACTCCCAACTTGGGGTATATGGATTAGTTCCATTGGACACTTTACCGACCATGGTCGTCCTTGAATAAAACCCTTTAATTCAATGCAGTACTATATCCACACTGT